AACAGGAGAGCGGGGGCACCTTCCTGCGGGGGAGCAGTGTGTGGACCATTTTAATAATTGGTTTAAATGGCATAATAATAAGGACGATCGTCCGGTCTGTGATTCTCCAGAACACACAGGTGGCCAGTCCGCCCCTTTGTAGCATATTATTTCGATGAGAGATGAGCAGTTCGCCACTGGGCTTTCAACTACAGACACAGCCACGCAATTGTACAGCTCCTTATGGGTACTGCAATTAGTGAAGTGCTTTCCTCCGTGGTGAAACGATCAGCACTGCACCACAGAGGAAAGCGGCAGAAAGTCACCTGGAGATAAAGAGAGCGGGGCTGCGTTGCGTGCATGGCTTCCTTCTGCAGGTAACGGGGAGACGCGCTCTGGCGGCGGTCTCGTTCAGGATCCGAAAATACAATTTTAATATTTTGCACACTTATTCCTAGTGTGCCACTGGTTACGGTGCCGAGTGCCACTGGTTACGGTGCCGCGTGCCAGGGGTTGCCGACCCTTGTATTATGTGTTCCCCAATGCACTTAAACTTAAAAGTTTCATTTAAAAAAAGGGAATAGCCTCAATTTTAAATGTTGTGTCAACAGCATATCCCAGGTCACACATTAGGTTTTCAATGGACACAATCTGGCAAAAGAGGCCTGCCTGGCTAAATTACTGATATACCTAACTCAAAGGTAATGAATAAAGCAACAAGGATTCGATTTGGAAACAACAAAATACATTTGAGGGCTCACTGTACGTCTTTTGAGTAATTTGAATGTAAATTGTCGTTAGCGTAGGTAAGACCTTCAATGTAGCCTGACACATCTAAGTTTATATGCAAATTACATTTAAATTGCATTTCCCATCAAATTGCAGTGGGCAAACAGAGTTCAGGTCTGTGACTGAGGAGTGGAATGACAAGGGAGCATCTCCAGTGGTTCCATGCTGAGCACTGGACCAACATGACAGACGGGGAAGAGAAGGAAGAAGAAGCAATAACATCAAATCACTGAACAGGGAGGCACCGAGGGTTATAGCACAACATTAGTACACCTTTAACAGCTTGAAGTCAACAAAGCATTTGGGAGTTTTTGTTGATATCTGTCAAGCTTCATGCGCGTTTTTAATGTATCCACAGCTGTGAGTAAGTAATAAACTGTTATATAAACCTCTTTTTCTGACTCACCTTTACTCACCGCCGGGTCACCAGACCCACCTTTCACCCGCACACTGACCTCCTTC